GGAATCCCGTGACCCGTGGGATTCCCGAGAAAATGTCAGCCTCTAAACCAGACACGAGTTGGACTGGAGGCTCCTCTCCGGGGTCGGCGCTACCTTTTTGATGGCCTGGCACTTGGCGATCTCGGAGTGTCCGATCATTTTGTCCGGGGAGCAGATCTTGATAAACGGGAACTTGGAGTCCTCGGCGATCCGGGCGGCGAGCGCCGTCTTCCCGCTGTTGGGCGGCCCTGGGGAGGAAAGGGGGAGGCGAGCTGGAGCCGTTTTCCCGCCCTGGGGGGGGGAATCTGGGTCTGAGAGGGGGGGTCCAAACCTTCCAGCAGGACGGAGACCAGCGGCGTGCGCGCGCTGTTCTTGGTCTGCTGCACCAGCAGCTCCCCGTCCTCCAGAGCCATCGACACCGGGTCGCCCCACCGGATTATCCCGTTCATTATGTAGCTAGCGTAGTCCTCCTGGTTGGTGCCGAAGGCCTAGATGTAAGGAAGACAACAAAAAAAAAAAACTATTTTTTGGCTCAGTTTGAGGGTGAGAACCCACTTGGAATGATTTGGTCCCAATGTATAAAGTCTAAAACCCGGAAAACGGAAAGCACGGCAGCATTCTGGCCGAAAATAGACGTCCTATAAGGTTTAGGAGATGAATCCACAGGCAGGAACAACAACGAATCAGGTCAGAGGCCTCAATCAAACACGGACGGTAACCCTAAATAAGCTAAAACTAGCCCCCAGTTAACCCAGCCTGCTGTGGCTTAACCAGAGAGGTGGGGGGCGACTGTTTAGGGCAGATTGAATAAATTCCCACAGCAGTTCAGACCATGAATGCAACACTTCGGATAGCCTAGTCCCAATTCAAAGGCAATGAAATGCCCTTTCAAGGATAAACAGTAAAATTGGCAATTAAAACCTTCATTTTTACACAAACTGGACGAACAAATACAAAATTCTTTGTCATTTTCATAACCTAAAAAGAATCACATGTTGTGTTATGTCAATGATTTGTTATATTATGTCATGTTAGGTCATTCTATGTCATAGTATTATGTCATGGTGGGTCCTTATAAATCCTGTTAGGTCATCATATGTAATATTAGGTCATTTTAGGTCATATTATGGCTTGTTCTGTCCTTACATGCTGTCATATTCCAGTTTATGCCATTTCATATGTTATATCTGTTAAGGGGGTGAAAGAGATTCCAGTCTGATAAATTATACTTTTTTAACGACACGCCCTTTTCGAAAAAACCCCCAAAAGTAGTTTTTTTTGCAAAAGTGACGGCTTCCATTATTTAAAAAACGTCTTATCTTCTGCAGATCAGTATTGGCTGATAAAATGTAAGCTGAAGTTTTATGTGGCAGCGGGTTATCTCGAGACATTTCTTCCCTAAAACACTTTTATTGGGTCCAGATTTGTTCTCCGAGGAGGGGGTGGACGGGATTGGAGCTGCTGGGTTTCGGCCCTGAAAACGCGACCAAAGCCACTCACTGGTTTGATGTCGTTGTTCAGGGAGTCTATGAAGTCGCGCCTGTTGACCTGCAGCTTGTCGGCCGTCTGCACGTCCACCTCCACCGTGCTGCTGGCCTAAAACATCCAGACGGGAGACAGAGTTCTCCCTCAGAGCGGAAAGGTCAGACGGGGAGGGAGGGAAGAGTAAGTGCTTCAGAGGAGTGAGGGAAAACGTCAGGGCCCTCATCACCCTCCAATATCTGCGGGGGCAGAACGCTTTGCAGACCAGGGCTGCTCCTTATCAGCGTGTCCGACCGGGCCGGCGCACCTGATAAAACACTTAAATCAGAAAAAAACCCGGCCCGGCTCACCTGGGTGGCTGCTTAATGGGGCCACACAGCCCCGGGCTGACCGTTAAACTAGGCAGAACAAGGAGGAATTAAAGTCGGCAGCACAAATAGGAGGTGCTTTAATATCCGACCAGGTTTACCCCGACAACAAAAATTACAACTGTAAAAAAATAGCAATAAAAATACCAGAAATCAACATTTCTTTCATTACTTTTGTTATGCTTTGAGGCAAAGATTGGCACACAGGTTGATTTTTCTGCTTTTTTACCTGCTGAAAAGATAAAAAAAACTGAAAGTTGAAAGTCTAAAATGAACTCTTATTTATTAGCCGATTTAAAAATACATTTGTCCCTGGCATGACCGGGAGGGGATTGGACATGCATAAGCTTTGGCTTCTTCAATCCCCTTTTCAAGCCATGCATTTGTATTGTTTGTCACTATATGTATTCTAAAATGTGTGCTGGTTATAAATAAACTTTTGAAAAAAATTGAAAAAACATTTGGGATCAAAAATGGCATTTTGGCATTTTCTAATGGGAACTTTTTGTGGGTAGGATCAAATACAGACTACAATAACAGAAGTTTTATATGTTCTACCAATATGTTCATTACCATATTCAGCCAAAACGGCTTAAAATAAACATGTGCATGTCTGAAAAACTGCAGAATATTTACAGATGTGATTTTTTAAAGAGAGTGGTGGTGGTAGAAGTGGCAGACCTTGATGTGCCTGTTCATGGCGGTGGACTGGGCGGCCCTGACCAGCCCCTCCAGCTCGGCGCCGCTGTAGTTCTTCGTCTCCACGGCGAGCTCCTTCACGTCCACGTCGGCGGAGAGCAGCTTGTACTCGCGCATCTTCGCCGTGTGGATGTTGAGGATCTGAACGCGCCCCTTTTCGTCCGGCAGGCCTTTTAGAAGAGAGGAGAAAAGACTC